ATGCTCATCACCATATCCCCAGAATTGCCATATCACCATGTTAACACACGTCACTCATTACAGGTCACCACATCGCCATCCTCACCATACATCACCATTTCATCATACTAACACCTGCCACTCTCATTGAAAATTGCCACATCACCATACTCACACACGTCGCTCTCTCCCATTCCAGGTCAGAGGTCACCATGAAGGACCCCGGAGTCAAGCTGGACCTGTACAACTACGACCTGCCTCAGTACGAGTCCTGCCCTTACATCCTGACGAGTCCCAGGTCCTTGGAAGCTTGCAAGAGGCTAGGGATAAAGGTAGGATGTTGTAGGATATTAGGAATCTGTGGGAGTCTAGAATCACGAAGGAATCATTTAGGATCATAAAGAATCAATTAGAATTATGTAGAATCCTATGGAGTCCTATAAAACCATGTAGAATTAGAGACAATCTTATAGGATCCTGTAGTTCTGAGATGTAGGAATCCTCTCTCGCTCTGGAACTGTGGTGTAGGATTCCGGGATCCTCGTGTATCTGCGGCACAGGATTCTACTCACTGCATGTAACTAATGTAGGATTTCAGTCATACAACGTACAGGAAATGAAGGATTCTCGTATCTTAGAAATTTGATAGGATATAGGCGGTTAAGAGTGTGATAATCCTTTTTGTCAGTGTTAAGGAAGGATACTTGTGATGTAGGATTTTATGCTCTTGAAATACTTTCATTTTCATTTTATTGTGAGAATCTTATCTGTTGAAAAGAAAGTGACATTAAGCTGTAGTTTTTGCGTGTAGGATTCTCTTTTCTTTTTCGTGTTATAAATTTGGTTCTTTCTTTCTTTCTTTCTTTTTATGTTTAATGATTTCATCTTTGTTTATTTTGCCATTTTTTTCTTTATTTTGCCCTTTCTTTATTAATTTATTTTACAATTTCTTTTTTTCATTTTACAATCTCTTTCCTTATCTATTTTACTATTATTTTTTTCTTTTATTCTCTCTTTCTTTCTTTTATTCTCTTTTTCTATTTATTTCATTTTTCTTTATTCCTATAGATATCACGCTTCTTTAAAACCAAAGATAGGACACCTTAATAGGATGGAAGGATTCTCTCTCCGTATGATATCATGTCAGGATTTCCTCTTGTGATGCAAGAGGCTCTCTTTTGACTTCATGATGAGTCCTTCTGCTATGGCGAAGGACTTCTCCACTCTAGGACTCTCTCTTCTCAAAGTAAGAGAAGGATTCTGTACTTTGATCTGGGAATTCCATTTTTTTTATATATAAAATTAGGACTTCAGCTGTCAATGTGAGGATGGACTTGTCCAGAGCGAGGACTCCGCCTGATTGTGAACGAGAGATGGAGTAGGACGTGTATGTATTAGTCCCGGAGTCCTTCTGATTCGTGTAGGACTCTTTCTTTCTTATATCAGTTCAGGATTCCTTGTGTTGTTTCTATCTATTATTAGATTCATGTAGGACTCTGTATACCACTCTAGGATCCCTTCTGTCACAGCGCTTATGTTAAGGTAGGATACCGGATGTCTTTACTGAGGTGAGGACTCCATTTAGTGGCATGGAGGTAAGGTCACACTAAGACCTATTATCCTAAGGCAGGAATCCTTCTATTCAGATTACAGCAGTAATCCCATCGGTTTTCCTTTTCAGACAAAACTCTACCTCTCATAATCAACACAGGACTCTATTTATCCACATTCTCAAAATACACCTCCGTCTTTCTACACGAAGGACTCGCATTTTTTTCCTATTAAGACATAAGCCGATTTAGGACTCTCTAAATACACATTTTCAAAATATAGTCTCATTTTTCTCATAGAAAGATTGGACTCTCATCTTTTTTGCGTTAAAACAAGACATTTCTTCTTCTCGTTGTTATGTAGGACTACCATTTCTTAAAACCATTGGCAGGACCTGTCATTATGGTGTCATATCCCTCACTCTTTATTTTCTTTGTAGGATTTTTTTATTTATTTATTCATTTTTTTTCTGTCGGAGGATCCTGCTTTTTAATTTCCGTAATGGAAGGATCCCTCCATCTCAGCGCCCTTGTGATTAACGAATTAGGACATGGGAGAAGGAAGGGTATATTTAGAAAAGTATTTTTGTTTTCTATTCATGTTTTTGTCTTTCCTTCTTCCTTGATTTCTTTTCTTCTTTGTCGGCGTGTTTTTATTGTTCTCTTCTTGCGAATGAGGAGATAGGAGAAGGAAGGATACCTTTGAAGGTGTTTTTCTTTTCCTTCTTTGTTTTTCTTTCTTCTTCTTCTTCGCCGGTGTCTTTTCTTCTTTGTTTTTGTCTTTCCTTCCTTCTTTCTTCCTTTTCGTCGTCGGTGTCTCTTTGTCTTTTTCTTTTTCTTTTCGTTCCCTTTTCTTTGTTTTCTTTCTCCACTTCTTATTTCATTTCTTTTGTCCTCTTCTTTTGCCTCTCTTTTTCTCCGTTATCATCCTATTCTTCTTCTTGCTGTTACTTTGTCTTTCTCCCCCTCTT